ACACACACACACACACACACACACACACAGAGAGAGAGAGAGAGAGAGAGAGAGAGAGAGAGAGAGAGAGAGAGAGAGAGAGAGAGAGAGATATTATTAATTAAAAAAAAATGTAAACTGTAAAGGAGAAAGAGAAGGGTTTTTAACACATTTTGTATTTTTCTTTTAGTTATTAGTGTGTGAGCATGCAAAGTGAGAGAAAGTGGGCATGCAGAGCGAGAAAGAGTGGGCATGCGAAGCGAGAACGAGCGGACATCCATGGAGAGAGAGAGAGAGAGAGAGAGAGAGAGAGAGAGAGAGAGAGAGAGAGAGAGAGAGAGAGAGAGAGAGAGGGGGGGGGCTTCGTAACTAGAATGAGTGGTACACATGATACTGAATGCTAACATTCCTCTGACATTAATCTGACGGGACAATGCAGAGCATGACCGCTGACACACTTATCTCCTCTAATCTGCAATCCAGGGTGCTGTGGGAAACAGCTGCTGAATTCTGTTCCAGAATGTTCAAAAAACCTGCTGCGGGTCTTGCAGGCTAATCGTTAAATAACGGGCACGAGAAATGGAGCAGACCATCCGCAAAACCCGTTTGCCCGGTTCCTTATGCTTTGCTCCTTCCTCTTCGAATAAATAACAGGTATCCTCACGGAATGTCGAGATCCTTTTTTTCCCCCCGCCTTCTATTCTCGGTTCCTTTTTCTCTCGAACCACAAACCTCACTTCCTGTCCGAAGACTTCGTCTCCTTGCTGTGGATTTCTAAGGGCTATTTATTCTCCTTATTAATCTCAGTTCGTTGATCCTCGCTGCCCATGGGACTTAGCCATAATCAGGAGGCCACCCAATAATTCCTACAGAGTTTCGCAAGACCCGGTTTTTTTTTTTCTTTTCTTCTGTAAATGTTTTTCATACCCACGTGCTCCCGTCTCCTAAATCCTTGCCCCCCACCTGCCCCCTTTTTCTCTCTTGCCTTTGCCTCCTCTTTTCTCCCTTTTGAAGGCGCATCAGCATATATAAGGAAGCCCCTCACAGTCAACAATCCTCTTCCTACTAAGTTCCACTATGTTAAATAGGAAGGTCACACTATGGACTCGCGAATACGTCTGGTCTGGTAGTAATTACACGGTAATGATCCTCTTCCTCGTTAAATAGGACCGCCATCGACTCGCGAAAACAAAGCAAACATAAGAAGAAACAACGAGAATAAGGCAGGTTTCGGTCGCGAAACCCGTGAGCATCTGGTGCTTTTCTTTCTCAGGTTTGGCGGCCTGGTGTCGTAGCCCGCGGTGCACCTCATTGTTCCACTCTGGCATATGCGCACCCATCTTCTTGCTGACGGAAGATACACCAGAAACTGACAGCCGTTTGCCTCGTAGAGCGCCTGGTGATCCGTCGCCTCCAGCCAACATCTTTTTGGGGCATCCACCCGGCCCATCCACACGTGCACGTTTCTGCATTAGGAGAACATTTACATTTACCTGCTCACCAGCGACAACACTCACCTGCTTCGAGAACGTGCTGTAGCCTTCCATGCTCACAACGACTGTGTTGCATGTGACGAAAACAAATGAACATCGGTGTTGGCATACACAAAGCCCCAGCAAAAAAGTGTGCACACAAACACACCCCCACACACCCACACACCCACACGCCCACACACACACACACACACACACACACACACACACACACACACACACACACACGGGAGGAAAAGAGGAGTTAAAAGTTGTTAAACACACAAACTTCAATATCAAAGGGGGTTTCACATACCATCATCGTCTACATGACTGCCATCTCCATCATCACTGTTTGCAATGGTCTATCACGAGGGACGGCGACAACATGATATATGAAGTTCTAGATAAGCGTACAGAGACTTGAAGACGTCTGGCTTATCCGCCGGTGTGAACGCTTGACATTAGGAGAACATTCGCATACACACCTGCTCACTGACATCAACATTCACCTGCTTAGAGTAGTCCTGTAACCTACCATGCTCACAACACGACTCTCTATGGGTGGGTGGGTAGGTGTTTGTGTGTTTGCCTTTCGTTTGGGTATTTGTCAACTGAGAGAGAGAGTGGGTGTTTGTGTGTGTGCCTTTCATTTGGGCCTTTACCAACTGTGTGTGTGTGTGTGTGTGTGTGTGTGTGTGTGTGTGTGTGTGTGTGTGTGCTGTCTCTTATACACATCTAGATGTGTATAAGAGACAGGTGTGTGCCTTTCGTTTGGGTATTTGTCAACTGAGAGAGAGAGTGGGTGTTTGTGTGTGTGCCTTTCATTTGGGCCTTTACCAACTGTGTGTGTGTGTGTGTGTGTGTGTGTGTGTGTGTGTGTGTGTGTGTGTGTGTGTGTGTGTGTGWGAGAGAGAGAGAGAGAGAGAGAGAGAGAGAGAGAGAGAGATGCAAAAACCTTTCATAATGTGCATTGCAAAATTATCGTGCAGTGCGACGTGCACATGTGCCCTGCTGTGCAGCCCCCTTTCCCCCCTTCTCCCCCTCCGCCCTACACACAGAAAGTGGGAAGAGAGAGAGAGAGACAGAGAGAGAGAMAGACAGAGAGACAGAGACAGAGAGAGAGAGAGAGAGAGAGAGAGAGAGAGAGAGAGAGAGAGAGAGAGAGAGGTAATGAATGGTGACAGGAGTAAAGATTCAAGCTACTTACGTCTGTAAATTCCCGGCGCAAGGATGCGGTAGAAATCTCCAAATTTTTTCCCAGCATACACCTGCACCCGCACACAAAACTCTCTCAGCCAACAAGAAAAACTCGAACACGAAGAACCAAAAACCTTCCTCCCATTTCGGAGTGTCCTTCAAATCCTCCTGTAATTGATCATACCGCCTATTGATACCCGGTCAAACTACAGACCCACACATGAAGATCACAGGGATTGTTTCTTTGACTTTTCTTTGACTTTTCTTTGACTTTTCTTTGACTTTTCTTTTGACTTTTCTTTGACTTTCTTGCAATTGGCAGAACGCTGCAGACTTTGTTTGACTTTCTGTGACAGACTGACCGATAAAGTCAATCCACAAAACAAACCCTGTTGAGTGGAACAGTCCTGAGAGCATATCACTCACATTAGGACTTCCCAGGACGTATCTGTCCCAATAATTGCCCATCGTGAGTGAATCTGACAGCAATGGCATCCAGAAGTCAGTCAAAAAGTCCCTATTCTGAATGTCCTCTTTTTTTTGCGGAACAGGAAACGCCACTGACTTCAAAATATTGCTAACGTGTCGCTTCCTCTTGGAATAAAACTGTATCCAGGCTCATCATCCAGCTAATGTAAGAAGCACGTCATACTGTCCTTCGGGACATCCGCTAAAATTGGAAACGATACAGAGAAGATTAGCATGGGCCCTGCGCAACGATGGCACAACCAAATCGAGAAACGGTCCAAATTTTGTAAAAAAAAAAAAAAAAAAGATAGGAAAAGACGAAGAACTTGAAGAAGTTAGTTCGGATTCTTTCCCTTTTTTTCTTCTTGTATGTTCTTGCCTTGAAAGTGAGTTTGATGGGTTTGAATTTCTATCCCCATCACTGGTCTCTCTCTCTCTCTCTCTCTCTCTCTCTCTCTCTCACACACACACACACACACACACACACACACACACACACACACAT